TTTATATCGTTATTTTTCATTTCTACCAACTAAAAATAGTAATTAATTAACATTTCTCGATTCTATATTATCCCACCTAGTGATTTGACCCGTCTTAAAAACCTTCACCCGGGTCACCCGTCGGGTGGACAATAAGTCACCCGGGTGGAAATCGGGTCAACTTAAAAATGAACGAACATAAAATACGAGCAAGGTCAGGCCGATAATTTCCGATTGAAAAAAATTTTAATAAAATTTACTATATATACGTCCCATTTCCCCCTTTTTTGAAAAAGAGATGTAATGTAAACCATCAAATCAAGTTGGTCTCGCCTAAACTTGCGAATCCTGGGTCTAACACTAACTTCAAAATTGCTAATTATTAGAAATCATGTTCTCATTTTAAAATTTATTTTTAGAAGAGGCTTGTATTATATATATATATTGTTGATAAATTATGTTATATTGCAGAAACAAGTCTTTATCTGTAACCATATTCATACTTAATATGATATATTTTTCAAATTTTTCGCTATGATCTTTCATTCTGACCTTTGATCAGTGATTATCAATTCATCATGGCGATACAAAATCCGAAAGAAAAAAAAATATAAATCAAAAAATAGCGAAATTATTTATAATATATATATGAAAACACTTATTTTTCTGAAAAATTCGTATATTTTTCACATGTATGAATGTGAAATTTCTCTATAGCTATGCACTTATCTGGATTTACAGAATATTTTGCATGTCTTTAGTTTTTACTAGATTTTTTAAGAGGCATTTGAATTGATTAGATAAGAATATTTCATTATCAATAATTAGTATTACGCTGCTCGTCATATCAAATTATGTGCAATTTTAGTAGCCACTGTACCGTTAAATCTTTCATTAGATTCAATTTATTCATATCAATTTAGCGATCTATATATTTTCCAAATCGCACTACACTTTTTATAAATTAATTGATAAAATTATAATATGAAAATTTCCATTTTTAACAAAATAAAGAAATTTTCCAGATTAAACTAGATAGCTGTGAGACGTTATCGACAGATTTTCACTGATCGACATCGAATGACCAATCAGATTACAAGATCAGGTATAACGTAACTCAAAATTTCATCTATATAACCTTTTTCTGCGCACTAGTAAAAAAATTGCTTGCAAAAAATTTTAGTATAAAGCAAGCCTCACTATAATTGTAAAACCTGATCCTAATGTAGTGTTTTACGACTTTAAAAAATTGCGCATATTCGTTGTTTTGATTGTCGGTCAGTGAAAATCAGTCGGTGCCACTGGGGTAAATCGTTATCGCGCAACTCAGGAACGGAAAACCTAAAAATGGAAATAGTTAATTATAAACTTACTGCTAGATAAAATCACTTTATGAATTTGCGTCTAAACATTTCTCTCCCCTTCAACTGTTTACTTTTCATCAATGCTGAATCAGATAAATAATCAATAAAACACTTAAAAAACAAACATCCCTTTTCCCTTGGTAGCACTCATATAATAAATCGCGAGAAAAATTTTTTGGTAAGATAAGTGGCCAGATCGACATGCCGATACATTTTGGTCTCCGCCTAGCATAACTAATATATGGGGACACCCATAGCAAAAGGGGGTGTTGGAAATTCATAAGACAGTATGATGATTTTTGTGAACATACATTGTTTTTTATCATGTTCACATTAAAAAAAAATAATGTTCATAAATAAATTTTTATTAATTAAATAAAAATTATTTATGTTCACAAATGTGAACATAAAATAAAAAAACTTTGATTTTTTTAAAAAATTTATGCGCTTGTGAACACTGTGAACATATGATTTCCAACACTGGATGGACTATAATATATAGTCACATCCCCCCTTTTGCTATGGGTGTTCCCGTATATACTTGCTTCTGTGCCAAAGGACGAGTTTTACGTTTGAATAATGGCAGATCTTAAAATACTACTTACTGTCAGTATAATTTTATCCATTGTGAATGCGAATAGAACAATCTTTATTAATCCAAATGATCCCTGGCAAACATTTGAAGGATGGGGGACGAGCTTATGCTGGTGGGCAAATGTGCTTGGTGGAGTTCCGGATGTTAGGAACTATTCTGCAGATTTGGTGTTCGACTTGAACAAGGTATTTTATTAATTTGCGATACATAACTTTTTCCATTCTTTTAAAAAAGAAGATACTTTAGGCAAGATGAAAAATGTTCAGTACATGTCCCAATGATTATGACCAAATCTGTTTGGTTGAATAATTGCTATAGCCCGAATCCTGAGCATTTTCTTTAAAGCTGGTTATAACGATGCGATATCTAAATTTTCATGCATAACTATTCCTAGTCCATGATTGATTGGCAGAATTCAGAATTTCCCTTAAAAATAGAAGTTAATAAAATTATATAGTATTAAATTTTATTGCTTTTATAATTATATTTT